CGAAGAATCGAAATGATATTCCCGGAATATTTTATGAATTTCCTGAACTTTTTTACAGTGATCATCGACAAAGAACAGAGTGAACATCGGCGAGTCTCTTTTCTTTTTCTGTAAAATAGTATAATTTTGTCAAAAACTCGTAGAAAAATGTTGCAAATATTAATGTGTTAGAAAAAAATGAGCATCAAACTCATACACCTTTGTATCAGACAGTCAATTTCTACTGTAACAGTTTAAATAAAAACTTTTTTATTCAATCTCTCAAAGTCTAACTTCGACATTGTGTATAATATTTTTTATAATTTATTTTTGGCTTTTTTGATTAAGAGAAGTGTTTAAGCTTTGATTTTTGAGCTTTTTTTCATCTTAATATGATGATGTTTTGCTGCTAGGTATTAGCTATTAAAAAACGTTGTACTAAAGTTTGGTAGCCTATTTTTTTGCAAGTGAGTATATATAGGATGTTCGACAATTAGTGTAAAATCTCTTGCAGACAGGTAGAAGAAGTAAAATTAAATCGAAAAGTCTTGAATTATTTTTTTCTATTATATATAATACAGAAATAATTATTGAAGAAATCAAGCCAATCAGCGCCAATCTTTAGCCGGGCGCACATCAGTGAGCCGCGCGGAGCGCTCACGCACCAGACACATGGTTCACTGACGTGCGTTCGGCTAAAGATCGGCACTGATTGGTTTGATTTCTTCAATTACTTCTTTATTATAATTACTTCTTTATTATATGTAATAGAAAAAAAATAGTTCAGGACTTTTTGACTTAGTTTTACTCCTTCTACCTGCCTACGAGAGATTTTACACTAATTGTCGGACATCTTGTGTATTAAGTAATTAGAGTGTATATATTTAAAGAGTACTTAGATAGTACTGGATGTTTTATAAACGTACATTTTAAGCTCATTTTATGTTCACATGTCTGTGGACACAAATGAGACTTAAATCAGATGTCTTCTTTTGGATATGAATCGAATATCTTAATCAGTATATCCTATAGATATTTGATATATGTTCCGGTTAAACTACTAATCTTTGTAATGTTATATATATACATTAACGTTTAGAACTTATTTACTTTTTATTATTATAAAATTGTTTTAAATATTAAGAAACATTCTATTTTTTTATTAGTAGAAATATGTTATTACTCACATCACAATAAATATTGAACATTTTGTTTTTTATAACAATGTACAATGTTTATACATTTTTTAATAGTACGTTTTAATAGTATTTTTTAATGTAATCTTCTATGTATGTTAAAAAATAATTTTTAATATTACACAAATTCTGTTTTTTGCGTGCAATCATAATCAACATGTCTTAATATAAGTGGAAAGTATCCAAAAAAGTTAATTATAAAATTATTNTTGCATGTGGTAATAGAAATGCCTCAGTTAAAATTAAGTATACTAGCGGTAAGCGCGTCAATAAGTCACTACTCTTGGGATATATTCCGTTTCATGCATATGTGCGCATTTATCTATAGTATATTTATAGTATTATCTATAGTACACGTTATGTATACTATATAGATCATGCGCGGATAATGCATGAAACAAAACGCATCTTTGTTTTAATAGCGTTAGTGTAGTGTTAATAACGTAGGCTGCGTTCAGAGAACGGGCTATCAGCGCTGTTGCGCGTTATTCTATCACTTTAAAAAATATAAGGATAAAAAATTGAATTTAAGAGTCAATAAATGCTATCATTTAAAAACTTGTTTTATTCTTTTTAAATAAGTTAAATCTGCGAGTATATACATATATATATATATATATATATATATATATCGTATATATATACATATATATATTGTGTATATATATATATCGTATACATATATATATATATATATACTCGCAGATTTTTATATATACAGGGTGTTCCAGAATTGCCATACAATCTCTCGAAGGCAGGTAGAAGAAGTAAAACTGAATCGAAAAGTCTTGAACCATTTTTTTCCATTCCTTAAAATAAAGGAGTAATTATTGAGTAAATCAGACCAAGCAGCGCCGATCTTTAGCCAGGCGCACGCCGGTGAGCCGCGCGCCTGGTGTGTGTAAGCGCTCTGCGCGGCTCACTGGCGTGCGCCTGGCTAAAGATCGGCGCTGCTTGGTCTGATTTACTCAATAATTACTCCTTTATTTTAAGGAATAGAAAAAAATGGTTCAGGACTTTTCGATTCAGTTTTACTTCTTCTACCTGCCTTCGAGAGATTGTACGGCAATTCTGGAACACCCTGTATATAGATTTATATACAGGGTGTCTGACAACAAACTATAAAGCCGACGTGTGTAGGTAGATCGGGTCATTCTGAACAGAAAAGTTATATACGATTTTGCAAAATTCGCAATATTTATTGAGATATGAATTAATAAATGTGAACCAATGAAGGCGCGGGGAGCGATGATCGGACTCTATAGGCGTGCATGATTATCAGATGAAAAGAAAAATGGCTTCTCTCATGTAATGTCTTAGTAACGAGAGGCGGAGTAAACAAACAAGCGCGGAACGACTCAGTTTCTTGTGATCGGGCGCTATTCGGCGGTACGCAGCGAGCAGCGGCGAGCGAGGAGTAGAGCTGATAATTGTGCACGCCTATAGAGTCCGATCGTCGCTCCCCGCGTCTTCATTGGCTCACATTTATTAATTCATATCTCAATAAATATTGCGAATTTTGCAAAATGGTATATAACTTTTCTGTTCAGAATGACCTGATCTACCTACACACGTCGGCTTTATAGTTCGTTGTCAAACACCCTGTATATATATATATACATATATATATATATGTATATATATCAAAACTTATGTCCATAATACAGCTAAAATATGATCATTTTCGATCTATTTTGAACTTATTTTGGACTTCATAATAAATTTAAGATAATCCAAAGTAAATTTAAAATAAATCCAAAATATGTTCGAGAACAGCCTTATTTCGAATGTAATTTATGAAATTCAGAGTTGTGTCAAACGTACATAAAATGAATGTCCATCAGATGTCAAATGAAATTTTTTGGACTTAAAATAAATGTCCGACGTCCAAAAATAGACGTTCACTGAACATCTATGTAACGTCCATGTACTATCTGGATACTTGTAAAGTGTACATGCTAAAAAATATATACTAAATATATAGTATATGTAGTATATACCAAATATGTAGTATATACTAACTATACTACAATATATACGTGCTTTATTCTAAATCAAAGTATAAGCACAGATCAAGAGACGGTAGTGCCTCGCGTTCACGAGCAACGAATTGGCGCTCGAACTTTGCGAGCACACTGTGCTTCTTAGGCAAGGCACCGATAGCCAAGATTTCTTTTGCGCAGATCAGCGGTTGTACAGGTTGCCTAGATCCCGTTTGCACAGAAAATTTTCGCGCTTGCTTGTTTACTTCGTCTCTCGTTGGACATTCATTATATGAAGTAGTCATCTTTCTTTACAGCTGCTAAGCGTATATGCCTACAGAGTCTGAACTATCTCTTTCCGCGCGCTCATTGTCACATTTATTAATTAACTACTCACAAGGCAAGTGACGCAAGTGTCTCTCTCCTATTTTGATGAGCTTTGAATATGTTGTAGAGTAAGTAAAAATAAGAAATCCGTATTTATTTTTATGTGCTTTCTTGCACGTTTAGGGGGTGACGTCCCTTTGACAAGAAAACGGTTTTTTTCTTTTCATGCGAATGTTGTCAAAACGGTAAGAGATATAAAAAAATGTTTCAATTAAAAGTTACATGGTCTTTTATAGACTTTATAACCGCATAAGTAAATGTTTAATTCAACATTTTTTTATTTACCTCCACCTCTTATTATTTTTTTCACAAATTTCAAAGTTTTTGTAAAGACAAGTTGTAGCATGTGTTACACTGAATACATATGATTTTATTATGTTTCAAAATCGTATCTTTCAGAAATAAGCCGTCAATATCGCACTATATATGTCGCGCTGCATGACTCATTATTAATGTCGCGCTCTTATCGTAATAGACGGTAAAGAAAACTAAAAAAATGAAATTAGTACGTTGTCACGTATTTGATAACGTTCTAATCACAAAGTTTACTAAAAAAGCAAAGAACAACTTTACTGTTGCTAAGGCATCCTCACACTGATGCCTTTCACTCTTATTAATAATCACCGTTCACAGCACATTGTTATTTGCAAGTCAGCTATCATATATTACGCTTGAAAGTTTTGCTCATTACATAGCGACTGTGGAAAAATACTATGTAAAAAGATAATAGTAAATATGAAGTAATATATAATAGTAAATAGTGAGTATGAATTCTGACTATACCTTGTTTCAATTATATCCAAGATATTCGATTTTACAACTTCACGAATATATGTATACATTTTTCAAACCACAAAGCTGCAACATAAGAATTCATAAATTAAAGAGCATAAAAAACACATTATACATATAATGATAGTATTATATGTATACCTAAGCTTCATATAATGGTAGTATTATATGAACACCTAAGCTCTTAGCTACAAGACATACATATTTTGCTATTATAGCTGTGGTAGAAACTATTTTTTTCCGTACATGTTCCGTATACATGTTTTGTTAGCCGAACTAATTGCGTGGGCCAATCGCTTTTTAACAGGTGTATGTGAGAGCGAGCATACAGCGCTTCGTGCGATCTTACGTGCAAAGTGATAACGTTTTTCGAAAAAGAGTCGATCCGGAGACTATACGAAAAACAAGTAGACACCATGTTACCTGTCCGTCGGAAGTTTCACGTCGCTTGCAATATCTTATTGTTTGAATGTTGTTGATAAGCATGCGAGAGATAAGCGAGGTACGCTGGTTGCCGGTCGAGTTGCGCAAAAGGCGTGAAGCGAGGGAGAATATTATTCAGCAAAAATCAAATTTATCGGTTAGTCGATAAATCTATCGATAGTTATCTTCTAGGATTTATCGTGATCTGAAAGTAGAAGGACGGCTCGCGAGCGCATCGCAATCAGTTCGCAATTCGCAGCGCAGTACATTACATCTGTAGTTTACTTTTACGTAATAAATTAAGTGAAATTGTAATTCAGACAAATTTATTCGCATTTTGCAACATTTTCTGGTCCTTCAAGCCGGATTTGCGCGTACGCATCGATCGAAAGAATTTTGGGCCTCTTCGGGCAGAATCGACGGTTGCGGATTGGCAAGCAATTATTGGTTAAACAAAACCGGTTGTATTAACAATCAAAGTAACAATTAGTGCTCAACAAAATGAACGTTGAACAACTGAGAAGACAACGAGCAGCCATCACGGCAAAATTAACGAATTTTATAAGCACAGTAATGAAATCAACTACGACAGAAGAGGTCAAGATGCGCAGTCAATATTTAGAAAAAACGTATCGCAAATTTCAAACCATCTCGCAAGAGCTACAAGCCATGATCTCCAAGGAAGATTATCAGCTCAAAGACGCGACCGAAGAATCTGAGTTTGAAGATCAACATATTAAAATAAAAACATCAATATCTCAACGTCTTAAGAGATTGCAATCACAATCTCACGCTTCAACCAGTAGTGACGGAGGTAAAATGCCCGATAATGCGTTGACACAGGTTTTAGAGCGGCAAATGATAGGTTTGCAACATCCTGCGGAGCGGTCAGCCGATACCAACGATAATAAGAGTTTGTTAGAGCAACAGAGTCAAATGATGGTACCTTTAGACACTCACTCCGGTACGCCACGTGAGTCTCAAGTGAGACTGCCGATTATTAAGTTGCCGACGTTCAGCGGACAGATAGAAGATTGGGAAAGGTATGCTGATGACACCTTTAAAACATTAATTTATAACAGCAATTTATCGAATGTACAGAAGCATCAATATTTGTTCGGATTGTTGAGCGGCGCTGCGGCGAAGGTCATTGAATCGATGGAGATTTCCGATCAAAATTATGCGATAGCTTGGGACTTATTAAAAAAACGTTACGAGGATGAGCGAGCTATCCGAAAGCGGCATATCCATTGTCTTTTCGAGATGCCGCGAGTGCAGCGAGAGTCTGCTAGTGCAATACGGGAGCTTGTGGACTACGTTCAAAGGCATTTGCGAGTTTTGCAAGCAATGCAGCTTCCCACGGAGTCCTGGGAAGAAATAATAATTTATTTAATCGAACAAAGCCTTGACAATGTCACGAAAAGACAATGGGAAGAACACGCAGAGAAGCTGAAGAGTTCGTCCACGGATGCGATACTAGAATTTTTGAAATGCCGATGCCAGGTCTTAGAGCGAGCATCTCTAAGTGAGATTGCCGAAGAGACATCAGAAAAAACGAAATTCAACAATGTCGAAAGAGACGGTAACGATCAAAAACAGCCGTTACATTTGAAATCTCAAGGCAAAACATCATTATCAACAATTCAAGAGAATCGATGTTGTTATTGTCAAAGACAACATTTTATTTCTTCTTGTGATGAATTTTTGAATTTAACTACTAAAGTTAGATACCAAACAGTCAAATGCCTGAGACTGTGCATGAATTGCTTATGCAACGATCACTTTGTTAATAAATGCAAGGCTCCTCCGTGTCAAATATGCGGACTTCCGCACAACACTTTATGCCATATATTTAGAGAGACAGCAAATGCGACACGCAGCCCGGAACAGAGTACCTCTGCGGGGATAACAAGAAATGGAAAATCATCGACAAACTCGGATCGAGAAATATTCAGCGTCTCCGAAGAAGCATGTTCGACGAGCGGTTCGTCAATTCATCATGTGCAGCGAGACACAAATCGTAAGCGAATTTTAATGTCAACCGTCGTTGTAAACGCTGAGGAAAACAATGATTATAATTATCAATTGCGAGTTTTGTTGGACAGCGCGAGCGAAACCAATTTTATAACTTTATCAGCATGTAAAACACTCGGTCTAAATTTGAACAAAATATGTGAATTTATTAACGACTTGAATGATATGAATTGTATGGTCAGGCAATAGTGGTCAATTGCAATTAAGTTCTAGAACTTCAGATTTTCAATTAAACTTGCATTGTTTAGTCGTACCAAAAATAAGTAGAAACTTGTCATCATTTGCTGTCGATGTTTCTCGATTGTCAATTTCGCATAATCTAAAGTTAGCTAGTTCATTGTTTCATACGCCGACCAAGATAGATGCGCTAATAGGCGGAAAGTTCTTTTTATAATTATTAGAAAGCGGAAAAATCGAGCTCGATAAAAATTTGCCGACATTGCAAAGCACACGAAAAAAAAAAAAAAAGTTCTACCACGCTAATTACGGTTTGCTGAAACTGAATTTGCTGTTGTAGCTATAAAATTTCCTATTACATAGAAACAGTTTGCTGATATTCCTAAATATGTCGACACAATAGCAAATATGTATGTTTTGTAGCTAAGAGCTTAGGTGTCCATATAATGGTAGTATTATTAATGGTAAAGGTAGTATTATTATGGTAGTATTATTAATGGTAATTAGCTGTGGTAGAACTATTTTTTTTCCGTGCAGTAAATTCGGTTGGATTATAGCAGAATCGATAGAACGTTTAGTAGCAAATCAATCGACCGATCGTTTAATTGTCAACAGTCATACGTGTCTTTCAATACAAGAATCTGTTGACAATGCGATAGGTTTTGGGAAGTAGAAGAATATCCCGGAGATAAACACGTTTTAATGTCAAGGGAAGAGCGAGAGTGCGAAAGCCATTTTATAAACACAATGACTTGAGATTTGTCTGGGCGGTTTGTTGTTTGATTGCTCTTTAGAGACAACAAAATAAAACTCGGCGAATCAAGAAAAACAGCAGCTGAACGATTAAAGAGTTTAGAACGTAAATTTCTTATTATATGTTTAATGGCTCGTTGAATGTAAATTTCTTAATAATCGAGAATTTCATCGTCAATATTGTGAATTTATGCAGGAATATATTAATTTAAATCATATGTCGAGAATAGTTAAGGAAACTAGCATAGCAACGCCAATATATTTACCGCATCACGGAGTGCTGCGAGAAGCTAGTATTACTACGAAGTTACGCGTAGTATTTGACGGTTCCGCAAAAATCGCATCGGGAATTTTATTGAACGATGCTTTGATGGTCGGATCTAATTTACAAGACAACATCATAGACATTATTTTACGATTAGACTGCATGTAATTGCAATAACGACCGATTAAGGTAAAGAAAATGTACAGATAAGTCTTGATTCATCCGGAAGATCGAGATTACCAAAGAATCTTATGGCGATTTTCAGTTGACGAACCAATAGTAGAATTTGAACTAAACACGGTTACGTATGAGTTGGCGTGCGCTTCGTTTTTAGCCATACGTTGCGTTAAACAAGCCAGGCAAACAGTCATCTCAGTTTGGCCTCACAAATTTTGTTAAATGATTTNTACGTTGACGATATTTTGACTGGGATCTCGATACGGAAAAAGACGCAATCAATTTAATGTTGCAGTTGATTGAATTTATTATTAAATAGTAACGGATTCGAGCCTTTTTTTTTTTTTTTTTTTTTTACAAGGGGAAATCCTTTATGGATACCCTGACCTGTGAGGGCAGGCCAGAGTTATGTGAGACTTGCCAAAGAGGCGTACCCACTAAAACCCCTTGAGGCTTCTCGTACGCGTTGGGAAGGGGGGCCTGGAAAACCGGAGGGCTATAACATCCCGGTCCCCCCTTCCGCGCCTGGGTGCTGCGTAGCACCTCACCCCCTGTAGCGACAGAAAGGAGCCTGTCCCTTTCTGCCGACTCCTGTGGTCGCGTGCAATGTCCGAGAAAGCCCTCACTTTCCCGGACTGCGTACCTTGACCTTCCTCTTGTACAGAGGAGATTTTGTCTTCGCGCGCTAGTCAGAGTTAGCTTCTGACTCGCCTTCTTCTTCTTGCTGCCGACTGGTCTTGGCGAAGCCGTTCAGCGTCCTCTTTGGCGCTCTGGACTTTCTCGCAGAACGCGAGAAAAGTGCGCCACTTGTTCATATCTTCCACCGCCTGTCTGAAGATGGACGGGAGAGAGATATTATCCCCGAACGCGTCGAGGAGAGCTGCCCTTTCGCTTTCCCACGCTTCGCACTCCTCCAAAGTATGAGTTGCGGTGTCTATTGCGGCTCCGCAGTGCTCGCACTCCGGAGTGTTCGCTTTCTGGATACGGTGTAGGAAATCTCCGAAAACGCCGTGGCCCGTCACAATTTGGGTTGACCTGTAAGTCATCCAAATGTGCGGGCACTCTAGCCAGATTTTGAGGACCGGGCCCAATGCTTCCCTTACTCTTTGGCCGTAATGGCTCGGGTCCTCCAGCCGGCGGCGCCACCGCCGCACCATTTGGTCCCAGGCGCGGGTGCAAGCTTGCCGAAGCTCTTCCGGGTTTACGTCCCGGTTATTTGCGCGCGCCTCAGTTATCTCTCTTTGCCTAGCGGCGTATATTTTCGCGTGTTGGGCCGCCATAAGCTCTACCGGCGGGATGCGCGCCAGCACGCGGACGCCTTCTAGGGCGGATTCGAGCCTCACAAGTGGCGATCGAATTCCAAAGAAATTTTGAGCAATTTGAATTCTGTCAAGCGAGTCGGGAAGCCTTTAGCTGTCGCAACAGATGCAAGTAATTTAAACAACACAAAAACGTTAGGTTTAAATTGGCATCCAGAGCGGAATATATTCTAATTTTCGATTCGGTCGATGGCAAGCTCAGGTAAAACCAAACGAGAGGTGCTATCAACAATTTCAAGGTTGTTTGATCCGTTGGGCCTTATCAGTTCTATTTTAGTTCGAGCCAAATTGATTATGCAAGCGACATGGGCCGCAAATCTAAACCCATTGACAGATGATCTTCAGCAAACATGGAAGTCATATGTAGAGGATTTAAAAAACATAAAAACAATTCAAATTCCTCGAAAAGTCATATCCAAAGCAAATGCAAGCCGAATTTATCTGCATGCATTTTGCGACGCCTCAATACGAAGCATGTATTTATTTGCAGACAATAGATAAAAATATAATCTTTACTGATTATTGAGAATTTCAGATTATTGTAATCAGATAATCAGGTCTATGCCTGATTGGAGCCTAATCTGGCAGCCTGATCAGGGCCTAATCTGGCAGCCTGATCAGGATCGAATCTGGTAGCCTGATCAGGGCCATTTGATACGTAGCGTTACATTCCGCATTAGGGCCTGATTAGAGTATCGGATCCGTGCCTGATTTGGAAGTAGGACAAGCCATATGTGGATCTAATGAGGGCCCTACACAAATTTCTACTCGGGTAATAAAGCAAGTTTTTCACTACTATGTTCTAAATCGCGAGTCGCGCCGATTAAAAATAAAACAATTACGCTTACTCGAGCTTTGCGGCGCAGTTCTACTAGTTAGGCTGTTACAAAATGTAAAGAAAGCTCTCAAAATCAAATTTGACGAAATATGCGCATGAAGCGATTTAACAATCGTATTGGTGTGGATATCCGGCAATCCATCACGCCAAAAAACGTTTACATATATTCAATCGTACAGCCGAAATTTAATCGATGCTCGCATCCAATTACTGGTATCATGTGAGAAGCGAAAATAGCCCTGCCGACTTTATTTCGCGAGACACAAATCTCAGAGATTTACAAAAATGTAAGCTATGGTGGAACGGCCCTGACTGGTTCTCGGAGATTGACGGTCGTCTGCAAAGTGGTTTGCAATTAACGAGTCTTTCTCAGGAAGAGATAAATATTGTTAAATCAGAACAAAGAGCGGAACTGCAAATATTTTTAAATACCGACAATTCAAAACAACTATTTTTATCTTTATTAGACAATTATTCTTCTTTATCAAGGTTCAAACGAGTATTAGCATGGATTTTGCGATTTATAATAAATTGTAGATTAGAAAAAACAAAACGCAAGTATGACAACATTACAGTCAATGAAATTAATAGCGTAAGACAAACATTCGCAATATTCAAGTGTCTCAGACAAGATGTCGGATCTCAGGGCCGGGCGACCGCTAAAATCGACCAGCAAGTTGTTATATTTGAGTCCATTTATAGATGCAAACGGACTTCTCAAGATAGACGGTAAAATTCAAAATACCCAAGTCTCATTTGACACCAAGCATCCGATTTTGTTGCCGGGCGATAGCAGGTTTACACAATTGTTGTTCGAACTGGAACACCGACGATTACTGCTTACGGGTAACATCCACAGATGTTACTGTATGCGATTCGCGAAAAATACTAGCCAATGAAAGGAAAAAATGTGGCGAGAAGGATTGTGCTTTTGTAACAGTTTGAGACCGTTGTCATAAGTAATGGGACAGTTGCCTGCTGATCGAATTATATTGAAGCGCCCATTTTCGATAACCGAAATAGATTTCGCAGAACCAATCGTAACACTGGTTCATAAAGGCTGCGGCAGGAAGGCTAACAAGTCATATATAGCTTTGTTTATTTATTTTTCAACAAAGGCGGTACATCTTGAGACGGTCAGCGGTCTCAGTTCAAACGGCGCTTAGACGTTTCGCGGGACGTCGCGGCTGTCCACAGCGAATTTTATGCGATAATGCGACAAATTTCGTTGGAGCTCGAAACGAGCTTTATGAAATGCGACAATTCGTTAAACAAAGGAAATCAACGATGAATTTTGCATTCCAAACAGCATCGTCTGTCTGAGTATATTACTCAGCGAAAATCAAATTTATCGGTTAGTCGTCTTCTAGGAATTGTCGTGATCTGAAGAACGGCTCGCGAGCGCATTGCAATCAGTTCGCCATTCGCAGCGCAGTACACTATATATATCTGTAGTTTATCTTTACGTAATAAATTGTTAAGTGAAATTATAATTTAAACTAATTTATTTGCATTTTGCACAATCCATACAGCACAGCAAGATTGCAGCAAGATTGCAGCAATATTGTTGTGCAAGATTGCAACATTGCAGTAACATTGCAAAATGTTGCAGCAACGTTTTTGCAGCATTGCAGCAACAGTAAAATGTCCGCTTACAGAAATATTGCAATGTAACATTGCAGTATAATATATATGCAATAATACTTTTTGTGTGTGTGTGTGTGTATATATATATATCGGCATAATAGTTTTAATAACACATACAGAACAAAAGCTCCAATAGACATCTATTAAATGTCGTATAGAGCTGGTAATGTCTATGGGCGATTAATAAAGTTTTTGTTCTGTGTGGGAACATACAAAACTAAATCATTCTAAAATTATATAGAATGTTATAATTTTATAATTGAAAATTATAATATACCGACCTATACTGTATAATATAAATAATACTCATAATAATGTTAAAAATATAACATAATAATGTTAAAAATCAATCTGCAATGATATTTTAATTATAAATAATAGTCTAAATTATAAAATATATATATATTTATTTATAATAATTTATAATTAATAATAAAATTATAAATGTGCAGAGATAAATCGAACGCAGCCCAAGTATGTATTCCTGGCTTAGATCCGTTCACGGCCTTTTTCGCGCGAAAAAAACGTATGAAGTTAAGCAGGACACTAACATGTGGTAGTACCAGGCTTCACAAATTACGTACATTGAATTGCAAAAAACTGACACTATATCTGTAATAGAGTCACAGATTACACACTAATATTAATACGCAATTCTAACAATGTTTTAAGATATTGCTGCAACATTGCTGGAATAATATTTCCAAATAATGTTTTTGCAATATCTCTGCAACATTGCACTGCAGTTTCAATGTTGCAACGTTGCAGCAATGTTGCTGCAAGCTTCTGTGCTGTATGGGAACACTTATTATTATTCAATTCTGTTCTTGCTTAAGTTAGTCTCGTTTATGATAAAAAGATATTTAATTGTTATTTCTGGAGTAATCAGAGTGTTCTTGCTTTGATCCTGGCTATTCCTTACAGGACGTCGCGGATCCGATCGCGTCGAAAATGTCGAAGACTTTACCACAGGACGCGGTCCGAATCGCAACACGATCGAGAAACGCTCGTTCGAGACTTCAAACACCGACCATCACGAGGACGACGGGGAACCCCGATCCAAATCGCGTAGAATGGGAGTTCTACGATCAAACAATGTTCAACGATCGCAAATAAACGAAAATTTTCACGATGTCACGGCATTGAAGGATCGCTGCAATACATTGCGAAATCGTCAAAGCGACGCGCAACGACATTCACCCAGTGGTTCGAACAATGCGACGTCCGTGCGATCTCAACCGTCCAGTTCGCGCGACGGAAACAGAGGCTCTTATCGCAAAGACGATCAGTTACACGATATCGCGCGTGTTGAGCAAAATGAAACGCAGCATCGATACCGAACCGACCAACGACATCGAACCGACACGATTGGACAATACAAACGACTATGAAAAAAATTACCTCCAAATAATAAAAACTCAAAATAACCTCCGAACGCAATTGCGTACGTTAAACTCACACGTATATATTGAACGTGTGAGCATGATATTTGGAACATGTGGTATTGAACATATGTAATATCAATATAGTAGTTTTCTAGGATAGACGTGAGAATACGTTTTTGAAATAAATACACGGATGCAACTTTCAATGCAATACTGTTGTTTTATTTATTTCTTCAATTGTACGTATCGTCTTTGTACATTCGAGTCTGCATTGGAAACAATGTTCGTTCATTGGGAATCGTGCGACAACGTAAGCCAACTAAGTACGAGGAGTAATTGTGGAGCGACGTTATTCCAGACTCGCTTTACATCTGACGCAGATGCGACGTGGTGTAGCGCATTTGTCGTTTGCGCGAAGTTGAACGTATTCAACGACGAATCCTTCGGTGTGTTTGCACTGATACATTCCGATGTATGCCAAAAAAACCAGAGTTGGGTAGTGTCTAGTTAAAAAGATAAAAGTTAAGTTAAAAAGTTAAAAAGTTAAATAATTTTAACTTAACTTAGTTACATTTTTGGGCTCTTAATTTTTAACTTAATTTAGTTATATTTTATCGGTAACTATTAACTTTTCATTTAAATCTCTTGAAGTTAGCCACGCTATAAGATTTTGATTTTTGCGCAAAGTTGTTCGCATATAAGACGGATTGTATTTCGTCGTATGACCATATACTTATAGACTAAAGAATTATAGACAAACACTTTGTATACTACCATGATCAAAAAATAACCGGAATTTTTAATTTAAACCTCGCGGGCTTATCGGTTTAGAATTCTGTTGTTTGTGTCACGTTGGCAGCACT